GGGTTTCACCGTGTTAGCCAGGATGGTCTTGATCTCCTGACCTCGTGATCCATCGCCCGTCTCGGCCTCCCAAAGTGCTGGGATTACAGGCTTGAGCCACCGTGCCCGGCCCATGTCTTATGAATTCTAAAACATGTTTAGATTTCTGTAACTACCACCACAATTAGGATACAGAACAATTCCACCCCAAAAACTCCCTCATACTCTCCCTTTATAGTCACCTCTTCCTCACCCACAACCCCGGCAATCACTAATCTCTTCTTCACTGTAGTTTTGTCGTGTGTATGTGTGTGTTTGTGTTTATGTGTGTTTTGTTTATTATTTGTAGTTTTATCTTTTTGAGAGTGTCATATAGATGGATTCATATAGTGGGTAACTGGCTTCTTTCACTCAGCATAGTGCTTTTGAGATTCATCCAAGTTGTGTGTATCTCAGGAGTTTGTTCATTTACTATTTCTGGGTAATATTTTACTTTATGGGTGTGCTAAAGTTTGCTTATCCATTCACTCATTGGAGGACACTTGGGTTTTTGCAGTTTTTGGCAATTATGATTAGAACTGCTGTAAACATTTGTGTACGGGTTTTTGTGTGAACATAAGTTTTCATTTCTTTACAGTAAAATACCCAGGAATTGGGTTGCTGTGATGTATGCTAGGTGTATATTTAACTTTACGAAACACTGCCAAACCATTTTTCAGAATGCATGTACTGTTTTGCATTCCCAACAGCAGTTTATGAGAATTCCAGTTGTTCTCCATCCTCACTAGCATTTGATATTATCACTGTTTGTTATTTTAGCTATTTTAATAGCTGTATAGTGACATCTTATTGTGGTTTTAATTTACATTTCTTTAATGGCTAATGGTGTTGAATTAGTTCATGTGCTTTTTTGCCATCCTTTTATTATCTTTGGTGAGGTGTCTGTTCATGTCTTTTGCCTGTCTTACAATTGGGTTGTTTGGCGGGGTGCAGTGTCCCATGCCTGTAATCCCAGCACTTTGGGAGATGGAGGTGGGTGGATCACTTTAGGCCAGGAGTTTGAGACGAGCCTTGCCAACAGGGCGAAATCCCATCTCTACTAAAAATACAAAAATTAGCCAGGCACGGTGGCGTACATCTGTAATCCCAACTACTCAGGAGGCTGAGGCACGAGAATCACTTGAACCCAGGAGATGGAGGTTGCAGTGAGCCAAGATGGTGCCACTGCACTCCAGCCTGGGTGACAGAGTGAGACTGTATCAACAAACAACAACGATTGGGTTTTTTTCTTTTCTTTTCTTTTCTTTCCTTTTCTTTTCTTTTTTTTTTTTTTTTGAGATGGAGTCTCGCCCTTTTGCCCAGGCTGGAGTTCTATGGCCCGATCTTGGCTCACTGCAACCTCTGCCTCCCGGGTTCAGGCGATTCTCCCAGCACAGCCTCCCGAGTAGCTGGGATTACAGGCACGTGTCACCATGCCTGGCTAATTTTTTGTATCTTTAGTAGAGACAGGGTTTCACCGTATTGGCCAGGCTGGTCTTGAACTCCTGACCTCGTGATCCACCTGCCTCAGCCTCCCAAAGTGCTGGGATTACAGGTGTGAGCTACCACGCCCAGCCGGATTGTTTTCTTAATCATTGAGTTTTTAGGGTTCTTTATATATATATTGTTGATACAAGTCCTTTCGAGTATATGTGATTTGCAGATATTTTCTCCTAATCTGTAGCTTGTCTTTTCATTCTCTTATTTGTGTCTTTTGTAGAGCAAAAGTTTTAAATTTTGATAAAGACTAGTTTATTGATTTTTTTTTTGTATGGATTGTACTCTTGATGTTATGCCTAAAAAATCTTTTCGGCCGGGCGCGGTGGCTCAAGAATTGCTTGAACCTGGGAGGCGGAGGTTGCAGTGAGCTGAGATGCACTCTAGCTTGGGCAACGAGTGAAACTCTGTCTCAGAAAAAAGAAAATTTTTTTCCTAACCCTCAAATATGAAGGTTTTCTTTAGAATGTTTATAGTTTTGGTTTTTTATATTTAGATCTATGATTCAGTTAATTTTTTTGTACAAGATGCAATATTTAGGTCAAGGTTCATTTTTTTTGCGTATATATGTCCATGCTATGCTTTTTTTTCTTTTAAAGAATTTATTTTAAACTTATTATACCACACAGTATGTTTTATACACTGACACAGAACTTCCTAATAAGATAAAGCAAAGACAAAAAAGTTTCTTATTAGAAACAAGATACACCGTCACTTATTGTCTTCAAACATTATTGCACTTTAACTTTTTTTTCCCCCCCTGAGACGGTGTCTTGCTCTGTCGCCCAGGCTGGAGTGCAATAGTGTGATCTCGGCTCACTGTAACCTCTGCCTCCCGGGTTCAAGCGATTCTCCTGCCTCAGCCTCCTGAGTAGCTGGGACTACAGGTGCCTGCCACCACGCCCAGCTAATTTTTATATTTTAAATAGAGACAGGGTTTCACCATGTTGGCCAGGATGGTCTGGATCTCTTGACCTCATGATCCGCCTGCCTCGGCCTCCCAAAGTGCCAGGATTACAGGCGTGAGCCACCGCGCCCAGCCTGCACTTTAACTTTCTTAATTAGACAAAGCATTCATGAAATAATCTGCAGACTAACTTTAACAGACAAATAACACTTGTAAGCAGACATGACTATCCTAAATTGTTTATTAGGTATGAATTTTACAAACTTTACTTACATTAGTGGTAACAGTGGAGCTGGAAAGTATTGTGCCTTCTCCAGGCTGCCCAGCGAGAACCACCAATAGTGTGGTGGAACTTATGGCCCTTTCCAAGGCCACGGCTCTTTCAGCCTGCATCTCCTTGTGCTTGTGGACTGGTTTGGTGATCCACTGGGTGTCAGGATTTCTTCTGATAGCTTTATGGAATGGATCAATGAGGATAACCTCAAAAAATTTGTATGTGGAATCTTAACCAATCCAGTAAGAATTCAGGACTCTCAGAGCCCCACAGTGGCATCCAGCTCATTCCTCTGCAAGAGACTGAAGGCTTCAGGCAAACTTTAGCTGGTTAACACCACGATGGACAGGCTTGCTGTAAGTTGCACCATTAGGAACTAGGTGTTATCGGCCACCACAGCGAACACGAATCCTATATATAATGTAACCTTGCTTGGTCTTGTAGCCCAATTGGCGCACTTTTATCAGGCCGGGTGGGGAGCCCTGTGGAGGGCAGAGAGCTGGTGGTACTGCCAGCAGCAGACCCTCAGAAGAAAGCACATGACATCAGATTGCTTCTTTCTCCATAGCTCCTGGATATACTTGTATGCACTCATCTTGGCTTCCCTGATGGTTGCTGCCAGATGGAAAGGCTGTACTTTCTTAATCTTGTAGTGAAGACAGAAATAAAAGCATTTGGAATAAAATAGAACAATGGTTAATATCTTTGGTTCTTTTTTTTTTTTTTTTCAGATGGAGTTTTGCTCTTGTTGCCCAGGCTGGAATGCAGTGGTGCGATCTCGGCTTACCACAACCTCTGCCTCCTGGGTTCAAGTGATTTTCCTGCCTCAGCCTCCTGACTAGCTGGGATTACAGGCATGCACCACCACGCCTGGCTAATTTTGTATTTATTTTAGTAGAGACAGAGTTTCTCCATATTGGTCAGGCTGGTCTCAAACTCCTGACCTCAGGTGATCCACCTGCCTCGGCCTCCCAAAGTGCTAGGATTACAGGCATGAGCCACCTTGCCTGACCAATATCTTTGGTTCTTGAGACGGATGGACTTAGTTCTGATTTTGAGTTCTTCAGTCTGTGTGAACTTGGACAAATGAACTTCTCCAAATCTTTATAGCCTACTTGGGAGGGTTGTAGGAAGGATCAAATGAGATGACTGGCTGGACAAGGTAGCTTCGGCCTTCTAAACTCAGCACTTTGGGAGGCCGAGGCTGGAGGATTGCTTGAGCCTAGGAGTTCAAGACTGCCCTGGGCCATTTAGGCAGCCTCTGTCTCTATAGCAAATAAAAAATTAGCTCAGAGTGGTGGCACATATCTGTAGTTTTAACTACTCAGGAGGCTGAGGTGGGAGAATGCTTGAGCCCAGGAAGTCAAGCCTGTAGTGAGCCATGATTGTGCCACTGCACACCAGCCTGGGTGACAGAGTGAGACCCTGTCTCAAAATAAATGTATGAGATGACATAAAGAACTCAGCATGGTACTTGATGCATAATAAGCGTTTAATAAATGGCAGCTGCTACTCCTGCTATACTTTACTGCCAGTTAAAGTTGTTAGTATTATTTGGAGGGTAAAGAGTAGATAAAGGGTAGCTTTGAAAGTTGTGGCAAAGTGAAAATGTTTTGGGTGAAAACTTTTACAATATTCTTTTTTCTTTCTTTTCTTCCTTACTTCCCCTTTCCCTTTCCCTTTCTCCTTTTCCTTTCCTTTTTTCGATCAGGTCCATATTGCTAATGGTAGTCTTAGGTGTTAGAATACAGTGAGACATGGACATGCAGTGTTAGAAGTATTAAAAACCAGGTCGGGCACGGTGGCTTATGCCTGTAATCCCAGCACTTTGGGAGGCCGAGGCGGGTGGATCACTTGAGGTCAGGAGTTCAAGACCAGCCTGGCCAACATGGTGAAACCCCGTCTCTACTAAAAATACAAAAATTAGCTGGGCGTGGTGGTACGCACCTGTAATCCCAGCTACTTGGGAGGCTGAGGCAGGAGAATCGCTTGAACCCAGAAGGTAGAGGCTGCAGTGAGCCGAGATCATGCCACTGCACTCCAGCCTAAGTGACAGAGTGAGACTGTCTCAAAAAAAAAAAAAAAAAAAAAAAAAAGAAGTGTTAGAAACCAAGTGCTTTTGTGGGGTAGGGGATGAGAATTAGTAAAATTGCTTATTTGTGAAGAGGCCTATGAAGGTGAATAGATTCAGATTGGGCAAATACAAGAGATGGCCTGAGCTTAGTGTAGAATTGTAAAACCAATTTTTTCTTTTTTTTTTTTGAGACAGACTCTCGCTCTGTCGCCCAGGCTGAAGTGCCATGGTGTAATCTCGGCTCACTGTAAGCTCTGCCTCCTGGGTTCAAGCAATTCTCCTGCCTCAGCCTCTCCAGTAGCTGGGACTACAGATGGCCACCACCTGTAACTGTAAAAAGTCAGTGTCAATAAGTTTAATCATTCACACCTGGTTGATTTTTGTATTTGTAAAACCAGTTTTAATGACTAACTTTGCATTTATGTGCTTAAATAAGGCCATATCTATAAGGAAAATACATATATGTGAATGTTAATATCAGTGAGCCATCAGAAAATCATTTTTCCCCTTAACATTTCGTAACAAGATGGCTTCATTCTCAGTGGGAATGGAGAGTGGGGTAGGAGATCAGAAACGCTGAGGTTTCAGTATAGTCCAGTACTGTTTTGGGGAGTGAGGGCTGGTAAGTTTTGAAATTATTTAACTGGTAAATGCGAACTAGTTGAAGCTCAGTCATTGATATATTCTTTGGAATGATACAAATACCAGGTATGAGACAAGCAGATGTGTAATAAGTTAGTCTTTTTTTTTTTTTTTTTCTGGGTACGTGCATGCACATCTGCTTTCTTGGATTTCTTTTTTGGCTGCTGATATGGCTGACAGGGAACAAACATTGGAATTACTGCTTTAATTTGGCCAGAATGAGCTTGTTTGCTGTGAACATCATGCTGGCCTTAATCAGTCCAAAGGACTTCCTTCCTGCTTTCAGGGAGACTGCATATTAACATAATCTCTTTTCTGTCTTCAAATCAGGCCCTGATAACAGCTGGAAATAAGCACAGCATTAAAGAGGAAATCAGTAAAGGACCATTATCTAGATTATATGGAAGAGATTTTTAGTAAGTTTCATTCTGATGTTAGAATGACACGAAGATGGCTATGAAAGCCTGTAAGCACTTTCCAATAGTACTCTGCATTTATGACTCAATTTATGTGAGTTCTCTTCTACAAGGTTTGAAGAGCAAATACCTGTTCACAGAGATGGCAGTTGTTTTCTGAGAGACTGTGGGGTTTTCAGTTCTTTTGGCTCCTCTGAAACTCATTTGACATCTCTGAGAGTTTCCTCATCTTTAAAGTAGGGATGATCTCAACATTCCCTTGCTTAATAGCATAAGAAAAAGATAGCATCTCTTGGTACAAAATCTCTTGGTTCATAAATTTTTTGAATATACATGTATATTTGTAATATATGTTTATTCTCCAGGTGCAGTGGTGGGCACCCCAGCTACTCAGGAGGCTGAGGCAGGAGGAGAGCTTGAGCCCAGGAGTTCAGCCTGGGCAATGTAGTAAGACCATGTCTCTACAAAAAAAAAAAAAAAAAATTATATTCTTTTATATTATATTACTTTTTAAATTAATACTTATATTTCAGGTCCATACATTAGAAGCTAACTCCCATTTTTAATTGCTGTGAAGTATTCTGTGAATGTACCTTAGTTTATTTAATCAATCCTCTATTGATGGAACATTGGAGGAAATTATTTTTATTAAATAACACTGCAGTGAACATCTGTACATGCATCTTTTTGTCTTTGACTCCTGGTTTCTTTGGGATAAATTCTAAGAGGTAGAATGACATGGGTTAAGGGAATGCAAACTTTAAATTTTTTCATAGTTTTTTCCATTCTGTTTTAAAAGTCAGTTTTAATGAGTTATACTTTATATACAACATTATAATGTACTCGTTTTAAGAATATGACTTGATGAGTTTTGATAAAGGTATACACCAATGTAACAACCATCACAAACAAGATACTGAATGTTTGTATCACCCTCAAATATTTCTTTCCTCTGCAGTTGATGCCCTCTCCCTCCCCTCTCACCTCCTACCATTGATTCCAGGCAACCACTAATCTATTTTGTGTTGCTATTAGGTTTCCCTTTTCTAGAACTTTATATGAATGGAATTATATGATATGCAGTCTTTTGTGTGACTTTGTTTTTGGTTCAACATTAATATTTTTGGGAGTCATTCATGTTGTGTGTTATGGGAGTTTGCTGCTTTTTATTGTTGAGTGGTATTTCTTTGCATGAATGTACCACTTTATTCATTCAACCCTGATAGATGTTTGGGTGGTTTATAGCTGGAGATTTCTTTATCTCTTCAACCCTGATAGATGTTTGGATGGTTTCTAGTCTTTGGCCATTATAAATTTGTGCGGAAATCTTTGTGTTCAGTATATGTTTTTATACCTCTTGGGTAAATACTCAGTAGTGTAATTGTTGGATCATGTGTATGTTTAGTTTTATAGGAAACCGTCAGATCTTTTCCCAAGGTGGTTGTGCCTCTTTTATACTGCTACAAATAATGTATGAGAGTTTAGGTTGCTCCACATTCTTACCAACACTTAGTAGTGTCTATCTTTTTTTAATTTAACCCTGTCTAGTGGGCATCTCATCATGGTAGCTCATTGTGGTTTTTATATACATGGCTGATGCTGCGAAGCATCTTTTCATGTGCTCATTGCCTATTTGTATATCTGCCTTTGTGAAGTACCTGTTCAAATATTTTGTCCATTTTTGTTGTTGTTAATGGTATTTTAGCTTTTTCTCTTTATGGTGAAATATACATAACATAAAGTTTACCATTTTAACCTTTTTTAAAAAAGTGCATGATATTGTTTATTTAACTTTTTTTTTGTTTCTTACTATTGTGTTATAATTTTTTCTTTTTTTTTTTTGAGGCAGAGTCTTGCTCTGTCGCCCAGGCTGAAGTGCAGTGATCTTGGCTCACTGCAAGCTCTCTATCAATACTGATTTTCTATCTACTTGTTCTTTTAATTATTGAGAGATGAGTGTTGAAATCTCCACCTATAACTGTGGATTCATCTATTTCTCTTTTCATTTCTATCAGTTTTTTCCACACTTTCTTAATAAGATCCTTTTATAATTATAAAATGTTTTCTATTCCTGATAATATTCCTTGTTCTGGTCTACTTTTTTGGTGTTAATATAGCCATTCCAACTTTCTTTTCTTTCTTTTTTTTTTTTTTTGAGACGAAGTCTCACTCTGTCGCCCAGGCTGAGTGCAGTGGCGCGATCTCGGCTCACTGCAAGCTCTGCCTCCCAGGTTCACACCATTCTTCTGCCTCAGCCTCCTGAGTAGCTGGGACTATAGGCACCCACCACCACGCCCGGCTAATTTTTTAAATTATTTTTAGTAGAGATGGGTTTTCACTGTGTTAGCCAGGATGGTCTCGATCTCCTGACCTCATGATCTGCCCGCCTTGGCCTCCCAAAGTGCTGGGATTACAGGTATGAGCCACTGTGCCCGGCCTCTAACTTTGTTTTGATTAATGTTTGTACTATATATGTATTTATTTCCTTTTACTTTTAACATATTTGTGTCTTTATATTCAAAACAGGTTTCTTTTTAGACAGCATATAGTTAGGTATTGTTTCTTATTTTCAAATTGCAGTCTGACATCTCTACCTTTTAACTGGAGTAGACAGAACATTTACATTTAATGTAATTTTAGCTATGGGTGGATTAAATCTACCATCTTAGTCTTTGTTTCTCTTTGTCTCTTCTTTATTTATATTTTTGGTCTTCTTTGTTCTTTTGTTGTTTGTTTCTGTTTGACTCTTCTTTGTACCCCTCCCCGCCTTTTTTTTGGATTGAGGGTTTATTTATTTATTTATTTTTTTGAGACTGAGTCTCGCTCTGTTACCCAGGCTGGAGTGCAGTGGTGCAGGCTTGGCTCACTGCAACCTCCACCTCCTGGGTTCAGGTGATTCCCCTGTCTCAGCCTCCTGGGTAGCTGGTACTACAGGTGCATGCTACCACACCTGGCTCATTTTTGTATTTTTAGTAGAAATGGGGTTTCACCATGTTGGCCAGGCTGGTCTCCAACTCCTGACCTCAGGTGATCCGCCCTCCTTGGCCTCCTAGAGTGCTGGGATTATAGGTGTGAGCCACCATGCCCAGCCTAAGATTTCTTGTAGTTCAGGTCTGCTGGAAATAATTTCTGTCAGCTTTTATTTGTTTGAAAAAATTTTTAATTCACCTTTTTTGGAAGATTTTTACTAGTTATAGAATTCTAAGTAGTTTATTCTTCTAGGGCTGTGAACATATAATTCCACTGTCTTCTGGCATTTATTGTTTATTTTATTTTTTATTAAAAAACTTTTTTTTTTTGAGACATGGTCTCACTCAGATACCCAGGCTGGAGTGCAGTGGTGCAGTCTTGGCTAACTGCAACCTCCACCTCCTGGACTCAATCCTCCTGCCTCAGCCTCCCAAGTAGCTGATACTATAAGTGTGTACCACCATGCCCAGCTAATTTTTGTAATTTTTGTAGAGATGGGGTTTTGCTGTGTTGCCCAGGCTGGTCTCAAACTTCTGGGCTCAAGCAATCCAACTGTTTCAGCCTCCCAAAGTTCTGGGATGACAGGTAAAGAGAGCATTGTTTTTTTTTTTTTGAGATGGAGTCTTGTTCTTTCGCCAGGCTGGAGTGCAATGGCGAGATCTCAGCTTACTGCAGCTTCTGCCTCCCAGATTCAAGTGATTCTCCTGCCTTAGCCTCCCAAGTAGCTGGGACTACAGGCACATGTCACCATGTCCAGCTAATTTTTGTATTTTTAGTAGAGATGGGGTTTCACCACATTGGCCAGGGTGGTCTCGGTCTTTTGACCTTGTGATCTGCCCACCTCGGCCTCACGAAGTGCTGGGATTACAGGCGTGAGCCACCGCGCCCGGCCAGGAGAGCGTTCTTTTCTTTTCTTTTTTTTTTTAGACAGGGTCTCATGTTGTCATCCAGGCTGGAGTTCAGTGGCACTATCTTGGCTCACTGAAACTTCTACCTCCCAGGCTCAGGCGATCCTCCTGCCTCAGCCGATCCTCCCACCTTAGTCTCTTGAGTAGCTGGGACTACAGGCGTGTGCCACCATTCCCAACTAATCTTTTGTATTTTTGATAGAGATGGGATTTCACTATATTGTCCAGGCTGGTCTCGAACTCCTGAGCTCAAGTGATGCACCCATCTTGGCCTCCCAAAGTGCTGGGATTATAGGTGTGAGCCACCGGCCCCAAGAGCATTCTTTATTTTGTGTTTTTCTTATATTTCCTCTTGTTTAGCTTTAAGTTACACTTTCTCAGTCAGAGTACTGTATAGGTAATGTTATGTCCTCAGGCTGTCACATCTAGGGGCATGTAATCTGTGTCTGCATTACATAGGTGATGTTACATTTGAATCAACGTGCTACTCAGTTTCTCCTAAGTGTAATGACTGTATTTTATTTTTGTCTTGCAACTAATAAGCAATCTGCAGGGAGATACTTCAAAAGATCGTTCAAATATCCTGTTCCTCATTAACATGTCTCCCTGGGTTCTGTATCCATTGATGATTCTTGCCTGATCCAATCTTTTACCATGATGGTTGCAAAATGATCATTTTCCGACTCTAAAGCAGTCTCTCTGCATTTAGTAGTTAGCTTTCTACACCCTACTATAAGGAGGAGACCTACCTTCTCCCCTTACTTCATAATTTATCTATTTATTATTGGTATGGTTTTATGAATTTTTCTTTTTTCAAGGATTTATATAAGTTACTATTGTGCTTAATTATTTTGGTCGTTTAAAAAATTATCTCAGATTGTCCCGGGGTCTTCTCAAACCTTTTGTGGGGATATGTCTTCCTTGGGCCTGTGCATGTGCCTTTTTTTTTGTTGTTAAACAAAATATTTAAAGACAGGGTCTCACTCTGTCATCTAGGCTGGAGTGCAGTGGTGCATTCATGGCTCACTGTAGCCTTGAACTCCTGGGCTCAAGTGATCCTCCCAACTCAGCCTCCTGAGTGGCTGGGACTACAGGCGTGGGCCGCCATGCCTAGTTCATAGCATATGCTTTTTTTTTTTTTTTTTTTTTTAAAGTTCGCCTGTAGAACATCATACACCCGGGCCTGTCGGGGGATAGGGGGCTAGGGGAGGGATAGCATTAGGAGAAATACGTAATGTAGATAATGGGTGCAGCAATCCACCATGATATGGATATACCTATGTAACAAACCTGCATGTTCTGCACCCCAGAACTTAAAGTATAATAATAAAAAAAAGACCAGAAAAAAAAACCAAAATAAAATATGAATAAGTATAAAAAAAAAATAAAGTTCCCCTGTATATGTAGCTGCTTTTAAATGTCCTAATTTCACTGAGTCTTACCTCTAATTCTTCTTGGACCCTTAGGTGGTCTATTGTATTCCTCTGCCAGCAATCCTTTTGCCCCAGGTACTCACGATATGCACTCTCTCACCCTGCCGTGGTTCCTGCCACTGCTTTCAGTGGCCTCTAGCCTGGTATCCAGACTATGCCACCATTCCCATTAGCCCTCCGAGTGAGGTGAGACAGCAGTCAGTTCCTCAGGCAGCCCCACACAAGCCAGAACATTGAAGCTAGTTCTATTTTTGCTCCATCCTGAGGGAAGAGCTGGAAATTGGATAGCTTCTTCCCATTGATAGGACAAGGTGGGACAGATTGAGTGGGACAAGGATGAATGAAAATGGCACAAAGTTTTCTACCACTTT